TAATCATAAGAAGATAAAGATATAGGCAATAGGGAAGTTGAGAATAATGATGGTAATACTGTCTTTCTAGATAGTTTGACAGTGTTGTGGGAATTAGTTGTTTAGCAGTGCTGGCATGGGTAGAAAAACTGTCTTTGTGTCTAGTTGTTCTGATGTGCAGTGCTCTATAGCATCGTTTTGAGGGTAGAAGTTGAAACAGTTTATGTCCAGGGTGTGAGGGGTCTGTAGATATTTTCATAGCCCTCTTTCCGGCTCGTGCAGAATATTGGTCTTCAATGAAATGCAGGTTGGTAGCTATTGTTTTTTCTGCAGTTGTTATTATCAGGTGAAGTCTGTGTTTATCTTGATTGGTTGCAGTGCCAAACCAGACAGTTAGAGGTGCAGATGACACTCAATAATTCTTCTTAGAACTGTATCAGCAGCTCCTTGGGCAGCCTGAGCTTTCTGAGTTGGCGCAGGAAGAACATTCTTTGTTGTGCTTTTTTAATGATGTATTTGATATTAGGTGTCCATTTTAAATCTTGAGATATTATAGAACCTAGAAGCTTGATTGTCTCTACTGTGTTATCTAGTATTGTGAGTGGTGGTAGTGTAGGAGGGCTTCTTCTAAAATCTACTATCATTTCTACAGTTTTAGGGTGTTCAGTTCAAGAATGTTCTGGCCACATCACAAGGCTACTTGTTCAACCTCCATCTGTATGCAGATTCGTTGTTGTCTTGATTGAGACCAATCACTGTTGTATCATCTGCAAACGTCTATGCTTTTAATAGAGGGATCCTTTGAGATGCAGTCATTGGTATAGAGCAAGGATGTCAAACTTGATTGTGTCATGGGCCAAATCGTGATGTATTGTGACGTTTTTGCCTTTGCGGAGCCGGGGTGGGCGTGGCCTGCATGGCCTGCATCCGGCCCAGGGGCCCCAAGTTTGACAGGCATAGTGCTAATTGTACAGGTGTCGGATGTGATTCTGCCTAAATTCACCTGCTGCTTCCTGTCTGTTAGAAAGCTTATGATCCATTTACAAGTGTGATCAGGCACAGGTAGCTGATTTAGTTTAGTTAGAATATCTGGAATGATTATATGGAATGCCCAGCTGAAGTCTACAAAAAAGACCCTGGCATATGTATTTGGAGTTTCAAGATATTGTAGGATGTAGTGCCAGCCAATTACCAATATCAATTACCAATATGACTTTTTGTGTAAAGAAATTGTTACAACACATTTCCCTGAATGCAGACTTCCTTGATGAAAACATGGGATCTACACTATTCAGTCAAAGAAAACAAAATAAAGCTTCTCCCAAACAACTCTAGGGAAGTAATAAACTGTTCATTTTTATTTGAGAAGAAACTGAAACTGAGTTCCAATATGGAAGACTGAGCAAAAGTAACAGCAATGACAATAAATTCTCCGACAAAGAGTACTCAACCTCTTTTCTTCTACATTAAACTGCTTATGGAAAAAGTTATTGCAAGATCTCTTTCTTATAGTGATCACACACTCCCAATGCAAAACGCAAAAGAGCTTGAAGGAGGAACCCTGTCTACGCGATACCTGCACAGCCTACAACTATG